GTTTCACTTAGTGTGCCATCTAGTGAAATTGAGCCTAATTTTTGCCTAAAATTTAGATATGATATTCTAACCATAAGAAATTAAATTTGATTATCCTCATTTGGGGTGGGGTGGGGGTAACCAGGGATTTAACCCAGGGGCAGTTAACAACTGAGCCAAACGTGCAGCCCTTTTTATGTTTGTTTTTTTTTTTAATTTGAGTTGGGGTCTCACTAAGTTTCTTAGAGCTTCACTGAGTTTCTTTTTTGTTTATTTTAGTTGTAGTTGGACACAATACCTTTACTTTTTTTATGGGGTACTGAGGACCGAACCCAGCACCCTGCACATGCTAGGTGAGTGCTCTACTGCTGAGCCATGTCCCCAGCCCCCTCACTGAGTTTCTTAGGGCCTTGCTAAGTTGCTGAGGCTGGCTTTAAAACAGCAATCCTTCTGCTTCTGCCTCCTGAGCTGCTGGGATTATAGGAATGAGCCACTACATCCAGCTAATAATGCTCATTCTCAAATTAATAAGATAAAAAGAATATCAGAATAGAAATGGTACAAATTTGATATTATATAGTGATTGTTAATGATCATGATCTCCCTACTTTTAAAAAGAAGAATATATCTTTTTAAATAACATGACTTGAATAGCACTGACTAAAATGTAGCCACAAACCACTTATGGTTTTTTACATATAAATTCAAATTTATCCACATTTCATAGCCACATATCCTACCCCTTACAATTTTGTACATTTCCATCTCTAGAGAAAGTTGTATATAATAGCATTGATCTATATTATAACTGTTACCAAATTGTTCTCCTATTTTTCCAATCAATTTTGAAGATCACCAAACCTAAAGGGCTATAAGTATTAAGAGGTACCCTTTGCAGTATCTTCACAAAGAACTCTCATATAGTCTAGGATGCCCCAAACTGTTGTCATTCACTAGCTTTCCAATAACCTTGAGAAACAATGAGCTGATTAAGAGCTCCTTGGAATTGCACAGTGGCCTTGGATTTTCTTCAGCTCCCTGCAGATTGCCCTGGACTGATCACAAAAAGTATAGGTTTTAGTCTCCTGTGCTGATAATGGCCATGTATCTGGTGGTAAATGAACTCAGCCTCAAAATGCCTCTTAGAGTACTAGAGTTCCAAGAAGACAATTTGTGATTTTGTGATCATCCTCAACAAAGTCATACAGAGGGTCCCTGTGTATCCCATTACTGCCCTAACGGCAGGGCCTACAAAGATGACTTTCAGTTCCGTGAAGAAAAAGTACATCCCTCACAAAAGGGCAGAACATAGCAAGGGACACAATAAATAGCAAATGAGGATAGAAGGTGATACTATCCAATAGATACATAATACCAGCCAGAGAGGTAATTCTGATTTTTCTAATGGGTTAGAAAAGGGAAAAAGAAAAAAAAAATGAACTGAATTTTGGTAATATATTTTATTTAATCCAGTATTCAGGATAGTCTTTCTTTAACATGTAATCAGTATAGGAATTATTCACTAGCAAGTTTACATTCTTTTTACCAAGTCTTCAGAGCCTAGTAGGTGTTTTTCCATTTCCACCACCTCTTGCTTTGGATCAACCAAGGGGAGCAACAGGGGAAGCCCAGAGCTTGGGAAGGAGGAGGAGGAGGAATGGGATAAGTGAGAGAAGCTTGAATAGGAGCACTGGGGCCCTTGGACACAAGTTACAGGTTGATGTACAGTTGTTAGGAGGAATGCAACACAGCAAAGCTGATGRTTTAGGGAAACTGCTGAGTGTCAGAACACAGGATCCAGGGGTGTGGGGGAGGAG